CTTAAGATTGTTTTCCCACTTCTTTTTCTGTCTGCCTTATCTTCTGTGCCCTCTCACTGTGCCTTGCAAGATTGAGACATGACCATACCATGCTCTTGAGACATGACCATACCACTTCAGTTTGCATTTTTTTCACAGTGGTCTTCATAGGGTCTGATGACTTTTTTTTTTTCTGTTGTGGATCTCTTTGTTGGTTACATGGTCAAGGTATAAGATGCCCAATCCTGCAGTAGCACCTCGTTTCAAATGTACAAATTCCACTTTGTAAATATTATGTGAGTGTCTATGTTTTGATAATATGATATGACAATAGAGTGCATTGGCTTTATTTTGGAACCAAATGAAATGTTGGTGCCCTTCCATATTGGTCTCAACCTTATTGTGTTGGGCAATCCTGCAAAGTAGTTCAGGTTTGAAGCCCTCATCTGTGATAATTGATCTGAAGTACATAAAGTTTGTGACTGTTTCCTGCTTTTTCCACTGACCTGATGCTAATTATATTGCTTGTCATCAATGTGTTGTTTTTTTTATGCAAATTTTCATACTGTTGCTGTGGAAGTTGTGTTGAGGTGTTCAACCAAGACAGCCAGTTTTTTATCTCTTGCTAAGCCAACAGTATCATCATTGTCTTCTGCTTCACTGAGCTCAGTAGGTATATTGTCAACATCAACTGACTTTTTTTCTTTAACAACCTAACTGCAGTCTCTACTTCTTCACAAAGAACGAGGTTGTCATCAATTTCTTCTGCCTGAGGGCAATTTAGTACTGCTGGATCTCCTTGGGTCTTATGATTGTACAATTCTGAGCAGTATTCTGTCCGTCGCTTGAGGATATCTTGATCTTCTCTGAGGCATTTTCTAGATTTGTCTTGGATGGTGGTAGTTTTCCCTTGTTTATGTGCTGTGAGATCTTTCACAAGTTGATATGCCTTGTTGCTTGTTTCTACTCAGACTTCTTTTCATGCTGAAGATAATTCTCAACAGACTAAAGACTTACACATATTAAGCATAACTGTGACTGGCACAGCCAGTGAAATTGTTTGCATACATTGTCGATAAAAGAAACATTGGGTCACAACATATATCCTTTAACTATGACAAAAGAAGAGAAATGAAATAGCGAAAAAGAGATGAGGGAACTAAAAATAGAAATGAAAAGCATGGTTAAGAAAAGCATGAGAAAGGCAAAGGGGTGCCTGATTGAAAGACAATGCTGTGAAATCAAAGGCAGAAATCTAGTGTATTTATATTTAAACCTGTCACAATTTGAAAGCTCAACTCGGGACCTTTTGAATTTAACGATCAGTTACCCAGCCCACCCTTTCCAGCATATACCCTGCATAGAATGAGCTACACAAAGTTGATTATTTGAACATTTTTCATTTGATATTAAATGGTAAACCCCCATTCCTCTGAAAATGGAAAAGCTGTTATTCTTTTGATGGTGTTAGCTCTACCAAATCCCAAAGATGATTTAGAATCATTGATGAGAATTAATTCACTTTTTTGCAGATACAATAATGCAGGAAGGACAGGAAGACGAAGGTGAAGGTAACGTTTTTAGTGTTTGATATCCTATAATTATTCTCATATACTTTGATATTTCATATCTTCATGTTTGCAGATACACATTTTGTTAGAACACTGATCAAAATGTCCCCATACTGGTAATTGAAATGCAAGTTTGTCAATTGTTTATTCAGAAAATGTTATTTTTTTAAAAAAAACATTTTTTACAATAATTTTTGAGGTTATAAATATGTAAGTAACTTACTGAGTTCATATTGTTGGGGTGTGAGTACAGTGCTGGATTAGACAAAGCGAGGCCATATTTGGTATAAAATAAATTTGAGGGGCCCTTCAGACTGAGTTCAGACTTTGGGACCATAAGCTGTAGCTTGTTTAGCTTATGCCTAAATCAGGTACTGTGTGTATATAGTGAACAGTTGTGTGGAGAAATGTCAGTTTAACTTGATAATCATTAAGTGATATTAATATTATTATATTTACATTTAGAGTGTAACTTAAATTTTCAACCAATTGGAGATGTGGATTTTGAAGAGAGAAAGTTGAAGTTAATTCTGTTATTGACAAATGTATTAAGATAGTTACCATCATTCATGTGGCACTAATGGACTGTTTCTATCACTGGCCTGGAAATGTCATTACCAACATTATTAATTGATGATATTTTCATCTGTACCAAAAAAAACAATAAAATCATTTCTGGATGATTAAAAATAAAAACTAGCACTAGCAGATCTTGCACAACAGTCTCTGATTGGTTCTAAATTACACAAGCAGTTTCTGATTGGTTCTAACTTAAACAAGCAGTCTCTGATTGGTTCTAAATTACATAAACAGTTTTTGATTGGTTCTAACTTACACAAGTAGTCTCTGATTGGTTCTAAATTACACATGCAGTTTCTTTTATTGGTTCTAACTTACACAAGCAGTCTCTGATTGGTTCTAAATTAAACAAGCAGTTTCTGATTAGTTCTAACTTACACAAGCAGTCTCTGATTGGTTCTAAATTAGCACAAGCAGATGGTAGGTCTCTGATTGGTCCCTGATTGGTTAAAAGCATTGTCAACTGTATCTATTTGTGTTGTGTATATGCATTTGTGTTATAAATATGTATGAATTTGTGTTGTGTGTGTATATATATATATATATATATATATATATATATATATATATATATATATATATATATATATATCAGGGGTCAAGCTAGACTTAAATTGTGGGGAGAAGTGACTTCTCCTTTTGGTCAGAAGTGGGAGCTAAACAACTGGAAGCTAAACCCGGAGAAGTGAGACCGCAGCAAGAAATGTGAAATATACATATAAGATATAATATATTTGATAATGCAGCTATATATATATATATATATATATATATATATATATATATATATATATATATATGCATTATCTTATTTATGTGCTCCATTTCTCAGTATGCTTTTAAGTTTTAAACTATGCCTTATTTTCAAGTTTAAAAATATGTCGTTTATTATCGACCCATTTTGTACATATATACAAATTATTATATTCATACCCATTATATTCATCATACTTGTAGTATGTGTTTGGATTGAGATACAAGCAAATTAGAGATATGGCTTAAAAGGCACAGCAGAAGCAATACATTGTAATTATTTTAACTGAAATCAGTAACAAGATTAGAATCTTGTAAGTTCAAGTTGCTAAAAATGCTTAATAAAATATCACTTAATTATTTTATTTTATTTTGTCAAGTTTTGTGAAAAATTGCAGTCAAAAAATATTTATAGCATTCTTTGAAACAACCCCAAATTCATGTACATATGATTAAATGCACTAGCGACTTCAAAACATACTCTTTGTCCTGATTTCCTTGTTACCAATAAAATATTACTGTAACTATTCATAGACTCCACACAGAAGCAATAAAGTAAAGATCACTAAACTGGACCCTTTTTTCCCTCAAAACCAAAATATTCACGAACATGTATTGCACCAAGTTAGTATGTCTATTTTTAGAAAGAGGGTTTTTCCTAATAAAACTATTCGCTTTCTTACTTTATTGCAATAAATTCATTAATGGGACTGCATTCTTTTGGTTGAATTATTTGTCTACCTGCTGGTATTAACGATATAAGTCGGTTAAATAGTATTTGCTACACTACTATATATCTCTTTTGTAATTTCGTGAAATTACGATATGTCAGAAACAACCTTGACACTGCAGATTTGTTTGGAATTCCACAACAGATTATTACATGTTTTTGACCTACATTATTAAATATTTAGGCTAAATGACATAATATTTAAACTTTGTTTTCATTATATTATATTATATATTTTCCTGAGTCTATTTGCCCAATTATTTACGAATACAGACAGTTTAATTATGTGGAATATCTTATACGTAGCAATGTCTGCCATTACAACTTCGTTTACGGTTTCAAACTTATTTTATCAAGAAAATTCACAAATAAGGCCATTAAAATCTCATTTATAAAGACAAAAAAAAAATACATAAGAAAACACTCTTCATCGATCACAAATTACTATATATTGATGCATTTTACCTTGGATTACAACAGTGCCTAAACTTGATGGCTACTGCGAGGGGGCATCTCAAAATTGATAATCTAAAGCCATTTTATGTCCGAAAAATCAGAGGGTGAAGTAATTTTCGCTTTTCTAACAGAAGAAGCCGAGGTTTACAGTTTTTAGGTGACTTTTACGCCCACTTCGCCATGTAGCGTGACCCCTGTATATATTTGTGTTGTGTATTTTTATTTTGCATATGTACAAGTTAGAGTGGTAAGCTGTTCATTCAAATTGAATTATTTTAGTACATTATTACATTAATTTTACCTTTACATTAATTTTTTAGTACATTATTACATTAATTTTACATTTACATTATTTTTTTAGTACATTATTACATTAATTTTATATTTACATTATTTTTTAGTACATTATTATTTGTGACTAGTAATTTTAGAAGACAAAAAGTAATGGAGAAGTTCTTTGCCAATGGTAAGGGAGGTGATAAGATTTATTGAAAAGTTTTTATAGTAAATATTTGCACACCGTCTCAAAATATGGTCTAGAATATAAACAAATCTAATCCAAGAGATCATTTGATATAGCTAAAATTTTCATAACAACCTTTTCGTAATGTTTATGGTAAAGATGCATAATCTGCAATGAAAGAAAAAGTTATGAAATCGTTTGCACACTCAAATATCTTTTTGAACGAGGATGTTTGCTAGATAAATGTTCGTGTCATCTGTTGAATTATCACCACAGCACTCTTATTCCATAATGCAGCATTTCTAATTATTTATAGATTGCTATCCTAAGAAAAAACCAATTCCTGTAAGGAGAATTAGTATTAATTTTCCAATTTTACTTGGCTTTGTCTTGGCCTATTTCCTCTCATTTGGGCATATTTCTCTTCAGTTGTTTACAACAAGACAAGAGTGACAAGATTTAATGAGACAGCTCTGATGGTCCAGTGGTAGAGCATCTATTTCCATTGCGGGTGGTTGTGGGTTCAAACCCCAGTCGAGTCCTACCAAAGACTTTTATACATGGTACTGATGGCTGCCTTGCTTGGCGCTTAGCAATAAGAGGTTAAGTGTTAGGACTGGTTGGCCTGGTGTGAGGATATTTAGACTGGGTGGGGACATCGTGCTACATGTCTGTGGCGTTATGCCCCAGTACTGAACATCACCATAAATTGTCACACTGCAGACATTGTAGTGATATGATTAAAAAGTTGTTAAAGCTACATTAAAAATATAAAACACATACACACCAGCACCATACATGCCAAGTCTCCCAATTTGTCTGGGACTCTTTTGATTTTCGACCCCATCTTTTGATCTATCAGTTTGCTGACAAGATCTCCCGGAAATTAAAATAACTCTGCCATACATAGGTATTTCCAGCTAAAACAACAATTCGAGAAATAAACCTCTGATGTAACTCATCCCCATTGACAATTATATTCTGCATTACTTTTGCTCACATGGAGCAATATGGCAGTGGAAGGAGGCACATCACAATCGGAATATCATTGGCCTTTGCTTTTGTACAGTACGTAGTGCGCTCAGCTGGAGTCAAATCATCAAACACATAAAAATTGATGCATATTCCTACAACTACTTCCGGGGTTATTTAAAAAATGAAGATGCCATGTCAAAATGTCCACTAAATGATTCGACGGAAATTATGCATGGCTTCAGAGTTAAAGTTTCAGTTAGGAAGAAAACAGAAAATTTACAGGCATAAAATACAGAAGCACAGAGAATAATGATGACCATATGGGGGTAGTCCTGAATGTGCTGATATCCCATTAACTGCTGGTTTGTGCTGCATAAGTCAGGAATAAATACAATGGCTAATTAGAAAAGCTGAGATAAAAGAAAATACAATGAAAAAGAAAGAAAATGAAGTGACAGAAACAAGCCAAATTGGATCAGGAAACTAGTGAATGAGGCATACGGTCAATGTGACAATGCAGAGACTACAGGTAAACTTGACATTCTAGGTCAGGCCAATACATGTGGAAGGAGAGAAACAGAGGAAGAGTAATTTGAAAGTCTCTTCAAGAAATTGGATGCAAACCTAGAGGACTTGAGAAGTGTTAGTGTTGTATATGACTTGTAATTGGGTTTTACCCAGACCATCCTGTTGGCCTAGTGGTTAGAGCAACTGACTCAGATGCTGGAGGTTGTGGGTTAGAAACCCAGCCAAGTCATACCAAAGACTGATAAAAATGGTACTGACAGCTGCTTCACTTGGTGCACAGCATTAAGAGGGCAGTGGTTAGCTGGTGACTTGGTGGGACATCATGCTATATGTCTTCGGCATGATGCCCCAGTGCTAGATATAAACAGCCATACTGTAGACATCATAGTGATATGACTGAAAAATTATTAAAACTACGTTAAAAATCCAAATCCTTCTTCCCTGTTAATGTGTTATAGAACAGTCAATTTATTTATTATTTAATAATAATAATTTAACTTGAACAATTACTTATGTTTTTTTATTGGACTGGTTTTTATTTGAGTTACAAAAGGTAAGTTGGTTCAAGAAGGAACACTATCAATTTAGGGCTCAAAAGTCAAGAAGTCAAGGTCACTGACTGAAAGAAAGGAAAAATGTTTCTGCATAAATAACTTGAGCTCTTCACCATCTGGGGTATTAGGAAGAACCCTACTCGTGTTGGGCTTCAGAGGTTGTATTTTCTGTGACTGAAATGGTTTTCATAAAAATGGCAGATCTGCTTTATTTGTATAAATATGAGAAAAGGTTTTTAATAGGTTGAAGATAGCAATTGTTCACATTGTACAGTGAGATCCACATTGTATAGTGAGATTTGCATTGAACAGTGAGATCCATTGAATGAGATCTACATTATACAATGAGATCTGCACTGTACAGTGAACTCTACATTGTACATCAAGATCAGCATTGTACAGTAGGACCCACATTGAATAGTGATATCCACAGTGAATAGTGAGATCTGCATTGTACAGTGAGATCAACATTGTATAGTGAGATCCACATTGAGTAGGGAGATTCACATTGAATAGTGAGATCCACATTGAATAGTGAGATCCAAATAATGTTCATTTAGATTCACATTGTACAGCAAAATGCACAATGTACATCATATTGCACATTGTAAATCCACATCATTTTAACTTTTATTTAAGTTTTATATGTTGGACTTCTCTTGTACAGGGCAGTGGAGTTGTGAGGATAGCCATCAGCTTTTGATCAACATCATGGAGTTGTTACCACAGTGTGATCTCTGCCCATATAATATACAGGAGGCACAATTTGACTGGGACAGAGTTACATTTGCCTCCTTTACTGCTGACCAGTGCAGAGAACATTGGAATGAATTGTCAAATAATGTGAGCATTTAGTTTTCACTTCATTATTATTCAGTGTTTATTTTATTATTGACTATTTTTAGAGAAAAATGCAAGACATTTTGAGTATAATGTCATTGTCCATTGTTACCAACTTATGTGCTCATTTATTATACAAGCCTAGAAAATGGTGTTAAACTATACAAAAGGGACAATAAGCTCTTTTAAAGTTTTATTAGTTGGTACAGATGAATGAAATAGATTATTTAGATTCTTGGGAGGAAAAAAACCAGCAGTGGAAACAATTGTTTATTGGATAACGTATTCATTTGAGTATGTTTCTTAGTAGGTTAGACGTCAAAACACTTATGATTTTGCTTAAGTCTTATGGAAATGACCCCTGAAATACAGACTTACAGAATAAACTCATAAATAAAGGAAATATGATTGTTTTTGGTAATATCCAGATACTGGTTTGTCCCATTGATATGTATTTAGATTATTAGATTCAGTGGAATTGGGCAGGAAATGACTAATTTTACCAGAGTACCTCAAATGCCTTAAATTGTACATATTTTATGATGTGTAGTCAAACTGTTGCTTATTATTTTTAAAAATGGTATCTAACAAGTGACATATCAGGATGAAAGAGACAATAAAAAAGTTCTTTTAGTGCAGAAGAATATAGGGAATATTCAGATTCCTGGGGAAAAACGACTATGACATCATGTGTTGAATTTAGTATGTCACAACTGGGAACTATCATTGCAGTTGCAATGGCCCATGTAAAATTTAATTTATTTTAAGGATTTCATCAAATTGAGAGATATCAAGAAGCCATTAAACTCTGTAAGTTTAGAAACTGTACTGAAGGTCATTTAAATTTCAACTTAACTTGACAAACTTTTGAGTTAAACGTGATGTTTACAATTACTGTATCCATCTTGAATCACTCTTATGGACTTTCTAAATTCATCTTGTCATGCTTGACAACAGCAGTACATGATATTTTGTTACATCTTAAATGAAAATGGGTCCATCTTAAAGAAACATTTGAATGCCTTACTGAGAATGTCTTGTTAGGGTTGGAGAGATGATTGATTGCCATATGATTGTGAGATTGAAATATAAAAAGAGAACAGTTTTATTTTGTTGAGAGATAGCAAAAAGCCATTTGAGCTTCATAGGATTTGGAACTCAGTTGGTGAAACTGTACTATAGTTAAGGTCTTTCAGTACATGGCAAACTGTACTGTAGGTAATTAAGATCACATAATACTTTGCAGACAGCACTGAAGGTAATTAAGGTCTAAGAGTATTTTGAAAACTACTGTAGGTAATGAAGGTCTAAATGTACTTTATACACTGTACTGTACTGTAGGTAATTGATACATGAGTACTTTGCAAACAGTACTTTACTGTAGGTAATTTAGGTCTGAGAGTACTTCAAACTGTACTGTAGGTAATTAAGCCCTAAAAGTACTTTGCAAAAACTGTACTGTAAGTAATTAAGGTCTAAGAATACTTAGAAAACTGCTGTAGGTATGTAAGGTATAATAGTACTTTGCAAACTGTACTGTAGGTATGTAAGGTCTAATAGTACTTTGCAAACTGTACTGTAGGCAATTATGGTCAAAGAGTACTTTGCAAAATGCAGTGTAGGTAATTAAGGTCAGAGTAATATCCAAACTGTACTGTAGGTAATTATGGTCTAAGAGTACTTTGCAAAATGTAGTGCAGGTAATTATGGTCAAAGAGTACTTTGCAGACTTTAATTCAATATAGTGTTTACCATCATTGCATCAGTCTTGAATCACAATTGCATTTTTTCCAACTTGATATTTTATTACACCTGACTGAAACCTGGTCTGGCTAATGAAATAAAATTGCCTTAATTACTGAGGACTAGTCTTTGGTCTGCTTAAGGAAATAAAATTGCCTTAATTACTGAGGACTAGTCTTTGGTCTGCTTAAGGAAATAAAATTGCCTTAATTACTGAGGACTAGTCTTTGGTCTGCTTAAGGAAATAGAATTGCCTTCATTACTGAGGACTAGTCTTTGGTCTGCCTAAGGAAATAAAATTGTCTTCATTACTGAGGACTAGTCTTCAGTCTGCCTAACAAAATAAAATTGCCTTCATTACTGAGGACTAGTCTTCAGTCTGCCTAACAAAAAAAATTGCCTTTATTACTGAGGACTAGTCTTTGGTCAAGTGACAAAATAAAATTGGCTTCAATACTGAGGACTAGTCTTTGGTCTGACTAAGGAAATAAAATAGCCTTTATTACTGAGGACTAGTCTTTGGTCAGGTAACAAAATGACAAGTCTTTGGTATGCATAGTTAAATAAAATTGCCTTCGCTACTGAGGACTAGTCTTTGGTCTGCCTAACCAAATACAATTGCCTTCATTACTGATTACTAGTCTTAGGTCTGCCTAACAAAATAAAATTGTCTTTGTAACTGAGTACTGACTTGTTCGGATCTCAGTAAAGAAGAACCCTGTTGATGGTCAGAGGTCAAGGTCACTAAGACACAATGAAAAAAATGGTTTCCACTTAATCTGAAGCTACCAGTCATAGTGGGGCAAAGGAAGAAGTCTGTCTGCAGTCGGAGTCCAGAGTCTAAAGAGATCCAGTTCGCTGTGACTAAAAGAAGAAAATTGGTTTCCATGCAATAAATATTCGACATAAAAAACCTGAACCAGACTTGCAGATGGTGTGTTTTTGGAGTAAAGAAAGAAGCCTATTGGTTTTAGGTTGAAAGTCAAGGTCACTGAATGAAAGAAGAAAAATGGTTTCTGCAAACAAGTTCATTTATCAATCACATACCTTCACCAAAGTTAGTACATGACTTACTCATTGAGTAAGAACGAGGCCTATTGAATTTTGGGGTCAAAGGTAACATCACTTACTGTAAAAAAATATTTTATTAGCATAATGTTTAATATTTTTGTCTAGAAAGACCTTAGTGCCGGCATTTAAATTTCCTTCCTAGAAGCAAAGTAGTAGGGACAGTCTTCTTTACTATATTATTATTATTTTCCACTAGTATACAATAATTTTCCACTAGTATACCTTAATTTTCTACTAGTATACAATAATTTTCTACTAGTATACAATAATTTTCTACTAGTATACAATAATTTTCTACTAGTATGTTATTATTTTCTACTAGTATACAATAATTTTCTACTAGTATGTTATTATTTTCTACTAGTATACCATAATTTTCTACTAGTATACAATAATTTTCTACTAGTATACCATTTTTTATACTGGTATACCATAATTTTTTACTATTATACAATACTTTTCTAATAGTATTCCATAATTTCTACTGGTATGCCATTATTTTCTACTAGTATATCATTATTTTCTACCAGTATACCATTATTTTCTACTAGTATACCATAATGTTCTACTAGTATACAAGTTTTTACTACTATACCATTATTTTCTACTAGTATACCATACTTTTCTACTAGAATATCATAATTTTTTACAAGTATACTATGTGTTTCCATACCTGCATAAACTTGAGAGCCCATCAGAGAGTTATAGACAAAATAGAACATCATACAAATTCAGAAAATCATAGCTTTCAAAGGATAAAACTATTTTCAAACATTTCACGTGGTTGGTCATTTAGGTCTTGATTAGTTTTTCATAAACAAATACAACTCCATAATATCTGGTTTTGCCACAAAACTTCAATCACAACTAATTACAAAATATTTTCAGGTGAGGCGCTACAGAACAGTTAGCGACTTGGTGGTGGATGCTTTATCATTACTTAATGATCCATTGTCACAGGCCGAGGTAAGCAGTAACAATGTTGGTTTCTTTGTTGCTAGATTTGCAATAAAATATCATT